ACTACTTGAGACTTGACTTGAGAAAACTGCGGAAACTGGGCTTATTCATCAGAATTTCGTATGACTTGACTTGCCTTGCTTGACCTGAGCAATGACTTGACTTGCTTGACTCTCACCACAGTGACTTGGGACTTGCTTGATACTTGTAGGTCAAGACTTGAGACTTGCTCATGACTTGCACAAGTAGGACTTACTCCCACCTCTGATGAATCCTATTATGAATCTGTTGTTTTGTGCTCGTTTTAATTACCAGGAGTTCTTCCTGACTGTGAAAGACATCATGCGCGCTCCTACTGATATCACCGGGCGATTTGAGAAGTGGGAGACAGCAGAGGTGGAGCTCAACAACAGGTAAGAGAGAAAAGATTGAGCCATCTGAATTCTTTAAAATACATTATGCAGAAGCCCTTCTTGATAGCTTAATGGCTCAGGACTTATTTGCACATTTAAACCACTAGAAAAACACATCACAACTAAAAGCTAAATGGCTACTTGTTTGGTCCAGTTTCTACAACAGGAAGTCTGCCGTCCATGAGGCTCTGTGTGACAACGTGGACACGCGCACCGCCATGGAGGAGATGAGAGTGCTGGTCGGCCAGAGCAACAGCTACATCGCCAGCAGGAAGAGCGCCAAGCTGAGGCCCAACCGCATGCTGATGGAGAGCATCGCTGCCTACCTCACCAGCATACTGAAGGTGGGAACATGTAAAGTAGCAACCATTGTTCATCAAGGTTCCTGTGTTAAATTAAGATGTATTGCATTGGCAGTGAAAGCAGTTTGAACTCACTGACATGAGATTTTTGTCATTTAGGTATTCGGTGCCATCGAAGGATCAGAGCCCATCGGTTTCCCAGTGGGACAAAGTCAGAACGTTGATGTAAGTAGAAACTTTTTTTCAGTTTTCGCTGTTAGAAATGTGATACATTTGAATGCCTATTGTTCAAATTAGGGAAGCTCCGATCGACAATTTTGGGGCCGGAATCAGTATCGGCCAATACTGATCGCCGATCCGATCGAGTGGGCGGGGCCTATGGGGATCTTCCAGTGATGTGATGTTTAAAACTCAGTTAATGGGGCTCAGTTAATGGCGCTTCCACAAACAACAACCAACATAATTATTACATTCAAATGAAGTACATTATTGAAGTTTACATTAACTTTGGAGAATAACACGGGAGAAATGAGCGGAAGCGCTCTCTTTTCCTCTCTCTCTCTCCCTCTCTCTGTCTCCTGACAGCCTGTCAGTATTTCATGCAGCTCACTGATCCAGTAATGAGGGACCCGACAGTGAAGAATAAATATATGTATAACTAGTTTAGCTTGTTCCAGAGGTAGATAAAATGGCTAAGTGTGTTAGGTCTAACTCTTGTGTGTTTCGCTCCGCTCACCGGTCTGTCACAGCGGGTGGAGCTGCAGGATTTCTGCTTCACACACGTTGCATAGCGCTATTTTCGGAGCATCCCTAGTTAAAATGTAGCTCTGCTTACTGTGAGGAAAACAAATGATTTCACAGATTGTTACTGCCCCTTTAGTAGTACTATAGTAACTTACATTGAAATACTGTCTTTGCTTTGTGTGGCAGCTGGAGAGCACAGTGATGCCGTACCTCTCAGTGTTGTCAAACTTCAGAGAGGAAGTCCGTAAAATAGCAAGAGACAAGAAAGGTAAGAACATGTTTTATACATTTGAGAGTCCAACAGATGCTAATAGTTCTGTTCTCCAAGAGTTTAAACATATTTACCTTCCTCTTCAGAGTCTAATTAAAGTCCATTGTTTTATCTCATCTAGTGATGGAGTTGCTACAACTGTGTGATGTTGTCCGAGACGATACGTTACCGGAGCTGGGGGTCCGTCTGGAGGATCATGAAGGTGATGGAGTTGTTAACTTAAATATTCTGTCCTGTAGAACAAAAAGGAGAAGAAAGTATGCAAGCATTACCCAGTCACTTATCATTATAAAAACATTACTGAGGATTATTTATCAGAAATCTTATTGTGTCATTATCTTGCAAATGCCCAATAGTCAACCCAACAATATTGTTGCAACATTGATTTAGTATTATTCGGTCAAATACATGTTTTGAGATATTAGATTTGTTTCTATCTGGTTAACACTGGGATGGGTATGAGAGTGATGAGTGACTCTGATGAACAGTGGCTGTGTTACAGGTCTGCCCACAGTGGTGAAACTGGTGGACAAGGAGACCTTACTGAAGGAGCTAGAGGAGAAGAAACAGGTGAGCGAGCCACATTTGAAAGGAAGACAACGGATGACCAAGAAACTAGTGACTTGCTCAATTCATTTGTGAGGGATCTGTGAAGAACATGACAACAGCTGCACTACTGGTATTTAGTATACCAGCAATTGAGGGTGGACAAGTTTACTACCACTTTAGTTTCAACTAATTGTGTTAATTACTTATTGTAAAGCATTTGAACATTATTTTGTGTCACATTTTCATTATTAAGGTGATGTATAGCTGTATAGTATCTTAATTATTTAAAATATAAGGTGACTAAAAATGGCAACCGTATTTTCAGTTTTGGAAACCAAAAGCTGATGCCTGGTTGCCAGCCTGGCAACCACTTTTAAAAGTTAGTGTTGGGCCCTGAGAGGGCATGAAAAAAAGTATATTCTCGGGCTGCCGGATAGCACAGTGGTTAGAGCTGGTGGCCCAGCTCACCACTGCCTAGCAAGGCGGTTCGAATCCCGACCCAGACAAATATTTCAGGCAATGTCCTCCCCCCTTTCAATTCTAAGATCTCCAATAAAGGCTCTCTGGCCCAAAGATATGTTAAACATAATGGAAGCTGTATCCTTTTTTTCTAAAAATGTAAAGAAACAACCACACGCAAAAAGGGTCTCTGATAATGAGAAATTGAAATCTAACAGTCAGTTTGTTGAGTAGTAATATTTAAAAAGCATGAACCTTATTTGTTTGATTTTCTAATATGATGGTAAAGGTAACTTGTTTTTTTATTTCATAGGTGGAAGAAGAGAAGAAAAGGAAGAAGGAAGAAGCTGCAAAGAAGAAACGGGAACAAGAGGTCACTCAGATGCTTCCATAAAGGAAAGTTTTGTTTCCCTAATCGGGAACAAGTTCACGTACTCATGTCTTTTGTTTCTGTTTCAGATGGCTAAACTGGCGAAGATGAAGGTCCCTCCATGTGAAATGTTTCGCTCAGAAACCGACAAGTATTCCAAATTCGATGAAACGGTAAGTCCCTCTTGCACAAAAGAAATAAAGCATAATACTTAGCTTTTTCACATATACAAATAATAATGTCAAATAGTTATTAACTATCCTATGTGTTGACCTGTTGTGTCCACCAAAAGCTGTGTATTGCTCTATTTAAGTAGCAGTAGCACAAGGAAAGACATTGATTTCACTTTTTAGCAGATTTTTCTAAATGTGGGTGAAATGTTTGCTACATTGAGACGGAAACTAATCAGAATGAAGTTGATATGTGTTCTTGTTTCTGTCAACAGGGTTTCCCCACTCACGATGTAGAAGGGAAGGAGCTGAGCAAAGGACAAGCCAAGAAGCTTCGAAAGTTCTTCGACGCTCAGGAGAAATTACACAACGATTATCTTCAGATGAACCAAAATGGCAACTGATAATGTTTACATACTGCCCAAGACATCCAGGCTAAAGAAAACCTAGAGAATAAATGTTTAGGGTCATCTTTTCTCTACTCTCCATCTGTTTTGGATCAGAAAACAAATACGGTTTTTCATTCGAAGCACTTCATTACCAAAGTCCATGTATAGCTTTTCAAAATAAAAGGGGGAAAAGAAGAGCATTAGAGGAGACAGAGGTCCTCCTTGTTCTGTTTCTCCACAGCAGCAAAACAAGGCAAACACTAAAGTGAGGTTTTATGATGTGATAAAACCATTTTTTATACATAGATTATGTTTTTGATTGAAACTGTAACACTGCCAGTCGTTTGAAGGATTAAATAGATTGTTTGCTGTATGATTTAACTTTGAATTTCGAAATGAACTACAAATGAATGGATGTAGGAAATTGGGATACATCTACACTATGTAAAGATGGACGAAGAAAACATGAATTTCCAAGTTTCTGGACTCTACTGTGTTGAACATCATTCTTTCAATTTGTATCGGTGCTTAGATTTCCATAGATGTACCTAGGATACTTGATGTATTTAAAAAAATTAACTTCAATTGCATTTGGGGCATTCCTTGTTTCAGTTACATATTCTCTAAGTTTACTGCATTTGTACAGTCTTAAAGGATACAATTGTTGTGTTCTATACTTGTTTTGTGTCAATGATTCCCATGAAAAGACCTACAATAACAACATGTTTGCCTATCTTTCCAAACTTTACCTACTGGAAATGTAAATCTTTCAAAAACCTATAGTTTTCTTTCCTAAAAATGTTTCCTATATAACTCAAACAAAAGGAAATTGTGCATTTGTTAGGGACTATTTTATTAGCAGTGGATAAATTCACATACAAGGTAGCGCTGTGCCACAGGGCAATAACACAGTAGATATTTTCCTATTTGAAGGATCAATTTATTGTTGGTCTTTTCATGTGCTTTGTTGACAAATAGAGAAATATAGAATATCAGCAACCTATTTCTCATCATTCTGGAAAGATACAGCTTCTCACACCCTCTGTTAGTGTGATCTCTCATGGCTTGAGTGACACCCCACAAAGAGGAGCCTTTTATTATTCAACCGTCCATTAAGGTCATGCATTGTTGTACTGTTTGTGTATTGCAATTCCATGGTTGTGTGAATGCATAGCTGCAGTAATGCTTTCATATAGGAAGAAGCTGAACAAATAAAGAGGCAGAGAGCGCTACTGATTTTCTTTCAAGAAATAAAATGGATCATTCTTGTAAACGCTTGTTACTTCAAGGATTTTGGCTTTCATCATGAAACTCCTATCAGAAAGAGAATTTAAAGTGGCCCTGTTATTCTATTTGGGGTTTTCCCTTTCCTGTAGTGTTCTATAGGTTTCTGTGCATGTAAATGGTCTGCAAAGGCTACAATCCCAAAGTTTCTTTAACCCTCCTGTTGTCTTCGGGTCAAATCTGACCGATTTACTACTTTCATCAATCATAACTTTTTTGTTTTTCATCCAATTGCCTCAAGACCTTATGTTATCCTCCACACTAGGCCTCTGAACATACAATTGATGATCACCACTTGCTTTTAGGATTTATTCAACAGTGAAACATAGGAAATGAATGGGTATGAGTGTATTATGTTCTATTTCGTATATGGCTTCGCCCTCTAAGCAGGGGTGGACTGGGACAAAAATTCAGCCCTGGCATTTTCTGTCCAGACCAGCCCACTACATTATCAGAGGACACTACATAGAAGTCCACTAATCTCGCGGCATCTTCTCTCATGCATACTACAAAGGAGAGTCATAGTCCTTGATAGCAGTTAACAAATAAAGCACTTAACTATGAACTCAAGGACTAAAATTGACAGCTATAGCAATCAATCAATCAATCTTTATTCATTATAGTGTCAAATCACAACAGAAGTTATGTCATGACTAGGGGTGGGACGAGACTAACGGGAAGAACCCTTATGCTACCCTTTCAGTTTTTAGTCTGTGACTGAAAATCTTTTGGTGTAAGCCCAGTATTAGTTAAAACCAGACTCGGACAATAATAACAACAAAATATCCTGACAAATAATCTAAATAGAAACATATTGCAGACAGTAACAGCATTAGAGCTGAAACTCACTCACTCAACGGTGACTCAGTCATTATGAAACCATAAATAGAGAATTGGAAAAAAATATATAAATATATATATAGCTGTGTGAAAAGTCTAAGACATGGGTTACAGGTTTGAATAGATATGCATTCTCATATACATGTATGTGCAAAAGTATGTATTGCTCTACTTCCTGGTCCGCAGCCAGCCAGCTCCACTCCTCACCAAATTCGTGACCTGCAAGAAACAGCAAACAGAACTTGTACTCAGTATCTGTGTACTGACAAGTATATGTAGCCATGTAGCCTTTTTGTGACGTAGTGACGCTTAGTGAACACATTTATCTGTCATAAAGGATGACTTAAGTCTCAAAAGAGCCCTAAGGCCTACCTGCATAACTGTTCATTGAATTTAAAAGATATGCAGATGTTTGAAATTAAAACTATCAATATGAAAATCTTCAGCCAGGAAATAATCATAATCAAACCTTTTGTTTCAATCTGAGACAAAACAAGTTGCATAATAAACTCACAGTCAAGACGAAGCTCTCAGATATGATGGATGACTCAAGCATCATAGAAGAACTTCTAGCAGGTCAGGAAAAGCTGTTTGACAGGAGATAATGGTAGCAGAGAATATAAAGAGACATTTATGAATTACCAATTGTCATTTTATCACATATAGTATGTTTCTTCACATAAACCTTTAAACATACACATATTGCATTCCTCTCACCACATGAAATAAGCTCAGGAACCCAAAAGTGGCCCAGTGAATGATGGAGGAGACAAAGCAGGTCCTCAAAAGGGGACAGAGGGAAAACAACTTATTAGGCTCTCATATATAGGGTGGTCAACCTAAAAGAGACATGGAAACATTATTAAGTCTCTCATCATCACAAATCAAGTATAATTCATATAACATTATAAGACACCTGACATACTCAACTAATCATAGACTTCTCAGTAGCCACAAAGTGGTGAAGTGGAACAAATCCTTGAAAATGGACGGAGGGGGAACAACTCCTCAAGCTCTCACATGTCAAGTGGTCAACCTGAGAGGGAATTGGACACATTATTAAGTCTGAAAAATAAATAAAATGTGTTCCTCTCACCTAGAGTTGAAAACTTTTGGGATGTGCGTTTCTTTCAAAACTTTTTTAAAATGATGAAGTATGAATTTATACAACATTAAAAAATACATGATAAACTTACCAAATTCTAACAGTGGTCCCAAATGAGAGAACAAGTCCACATATAGAACAGAGGGAGAACGACTCCTCAAATATATCAGAACAACCTGTAGTGGAGAATAATTGATCATTTCGTGTACATGATCACACCATTAAGGATCAACACATGAGCACAATAACACTTCTGAAAAGCATCATTCAAATGACAAATAATGAATTACTACATCCATAATGTGTGATGTGTGATAATAAAAATAATATGAAATATTTCTCGCCTTATCAGTGGAGCAGCTTTTTAAGCAGCTCACTCTTCTCTGCAAGTCTGTCTGTCACAGAGTCCAAGGCCATGAGGATGTCTTTCTCTGTGGCCATCAACATAAATGCCTCCAATTGATCAGATGAGAGGGTGCTTCTGAGTCTGTTTTTAATAAACTTCAAAATGGAAAATGTGCGCTCACAAGCCACCTGTGTGAGGGATAATGTAAGCAGGTATTTATAAGCAAGGCCTAGGACAGGGTATGCATCTGTTAGCATGTTGAAACGGCGAAGTATCTGGTAGCAGCACAGAGGGCATTCTTTGCAGGAGCGACAGCTTATGGGAGTTATCTCAACCTCTTCTGTGTTGTCCTCCTCCTCACCACCTGATCCATCTTCTACTGTTCTTGCTTTGTACTCTGCCAATGGGGATGCCTTCAGCCTGTTCCACTGGAGTGCAAAGCTTTTCAACTCGCCCTGCATATTTTCCTTGGTTGCCCTGCTGTCAAATCCTTGCAAGCACTTGCTTAAGTCTTGAAGGGCAGACTGGGGAAGAGCACTGGGATCCAGACATGCCAAGTCAGCATATAGATTGCCGTGTGTTAAAAAGCGCCTATGAATGGCTTCAATTGCTGTGTCCATGATCCGGTTATGCACATTCACCTCATAGGATGTTTCTGCATCATCCAGGGTCTCATCCTGAGCCATCTCTCCAGGCAAGACTTTCTTCATCCTCCTCCTCTTTTGTGGCAGTGTGGCCTCCACTTCAATGTCCGTGTCATCTCTCTCTTGGATTTCTGTGTTTGTCCAGTTGACAAATGTGTCTGCTGCTTTTTTTACAGATTCAAAATCTCTTCCCAAGCTTTTCAGCGTATCCTGTGTCGATGCCACCATTCTGTGAGCAGAGAGGATGTCCAATCCTGCCGTCTGAAGGTATTTAGACAATGGAGAGGTATGTTCAAATATGCAGAGGAAGATTTGAGCCGTCAAGATCGTCTCATACTTGAGCAATGACTCTGCATATCCTCTGGCCATGACACGGATACATGGTTTCACTGTTGCCTGTTTCTGTATAGCTGATAATGTCAGCAGCACATCAACGTACAGAGCATCTTCGGGTTTTCCAAAGGAGCCAAACACCTTCTTCAGGGCCTCATGCTTGGCCCACCAGCGTGTCTCTTCTTCAGGGCCTCATGCTTGGCCCACCAGCGTGTCTCGCCAATAGGAGCAAGGCGTCTACGTCTCTTGTTTTGGCCTGACTCTTCCCACACATTCATCCTTTTATATGACTCTTTGATGAATACCGCAATGCCATTGAGGAGCGCAAACAGGGACCCACTCTCAATAACAATCTGGGTTGTGTTTGCAAGCACCAGATTTAGTACATGTGCGTAGCACCACACATGCACCTGGTTTGGAGATTGTGCAGACAACAGTGAGGAGAATCCTTTGTATTGGCCTTGCATGTTTGATGCCCCATCAGTCGCATTTCCAATGCACATGGTCTTGCTGAGGCCCATTTTGTCCAGAACCTCTGACAGCATGTTGACAAAGGCCTGTCCAGTGGATGAACTGCACTTCAGCACTGCAACAAGCCTCTCATGAACAACATCAGTAACATACCTCATAATTATAGAGCATTGATCCTGAGAGGTGATGTCCTGCGTTGTGTCCAGCTGCACTGAAAACATTCCTGCTTTCTTGATATCACTGGAGATGTTTTCTTGAATCAGATGGTGAATTGCATCTATCACTGAGTTCACTGTGGTTTTGGAGAGTAAAGTTACAAAGGAGCCTCTGCTCTCTCGTGCCACCAGACAAATGCAACTTTTTGCTGTTCTCAATGCAGCTGTCCAGGTGCTCTTTTAAACAGAAATCATACTTCCCCAGTAGAAGTATGAGTTCCAAGAAATTACCATGATCAACTGTGTGGTCTTCCAGAGTATATGCTGCCTCATTTTCTGACCTCCTGTATGCAAGCCCCCTCTTCCCAAGAACCTTGATGACATCTATGATGCGCTCCAAAACCTGCCGTCTCTTTCTGACCTGCTCTCTGTGCGCCGACATCTGACTGCCACCAAACACACTGCTGATATCAGCACTGGCGGATTTCAAGAGGTAAGCTTCAGCACAGTTTCTGTGTGCACTGCTTCTCCCATGCTCCTCTGTGCGCTGGTGTATATGCCTCCAATCTGACATTCTCTTACCGAATGCCATGCAGATGAAACAATACAGCATGTGACGCTCTGGACAGCACGTCAGCCACCTTCTACTGGTGCCGTCTCTGCTACAGAACACTTTCTGCACCACTGGATTGCTACTTTTTTGCTGCGGATGGTAATTTAAAAATGACTGGAGATTTTTCTGATCAGGTTGTGAAAAAAAATCAGTTATTTGACTGGCACACTCATAGCTCTCAACAGCTGTTTCCCTCTCAGGTGATCCTGTCTTTGGGCTAACATACTCCTCACTCTCTACAGCTGTTTCCCTCTGAGGTGATCCTGTCTTTGGGCTAACATACTCCTCACTCTCTACAGCCTTTTCCCTCTCAGGTGATCCAGTCTTTGGGCTAACACACTCCTCACTCTCTACAGCCTTTTCCCTCTCAGGTGATCCAGTCTTTGGGCTAACACACTCCTCACTCTCTACAGCCTTTTCCCTCTCAGGTGATCCTGTCTTTGGGCTAACATACTCCTCACTCTCTACAGCCTTTTCCCTCTCAGGTGATCCAGTCTTTGGGCTAACACACTCCTCACTCTCTACAGCCTTTTCCCTCTCAGGTGATCCTGTCTTTGGGCTAACACACTCCTCACTCTCTACAGCCTTTTCCCTCTCAGGTGATCCTGTCTTTGGGCTGACATACTCCTCACTCTCTACAGCCTTTTCCCTCTCAGGTGATCCTGTCTTTGGGCTAACACACTCCTCACTCTCTACAGCCTTTTCCCTCTCAGGTGATCCAGTCTTTGGGCTGACATACTCCTCACTCTCTACAGCTGTTTCCCTCTCAGGTGATCCAGTCTTTGGGCTAACACACTCCTCACTCTCTACAGCCTTTTCCCTCTCAGGTGATCCTGTCTTTGGGCTGACATACTCCTCACTCTCTACAGCTGTTTCCCTCTGAGGTGATCCAGTCTTTGGGCTAACACACTCCTCACTCTCTACAGCCTTTTCCCTCTCAGGTGATCCAGTCTTTGGGCTGACATACTCCTCACTCTCTACAGCTGTTTCCCTCTCAGGTGATCCAGTCTTTGGGCTGACATACTCCTCACTCTCTACAGCCTTCTCCCTCTCAGGTGATTCTGTCTTTGGGCTGACATACTCCTCACTCTCTACAGCCTTTTCCCTCTCAGGTGATCCAGTCTTTGGGCTGACATACTCCTCACTCTCTACAGCCTTTTCCCTCTCAGGTGATCCTGTCTTTGGGCTAACATACTCCTCACTCTCTACAGCCTTTTCCCTCTCAGGTGGTGCAGTGTTTGGGCTGACATACTCCTCACTCTCTACAGCCTTTTCCCTCTCAGGTGATCCTGTCTTTGGGCTAACATACTCCTCACTCTCTACAGCCTTTTCCCTCTCAGGTGGTGCAGTGTTTGGGCTGCCTGAATTGGTCTGGCTCTCTCCCTGAACTGACCAGCTGGACTTGCCCTGAACCTGTCTGGGCTGGACATAGGGAAAGCATTTATCATTGAATGGGGAAATAACTCAAAACCACAGAATAATGTACAAGATAAAAGATTAGTTCATATTGAACGAAACGTTCGCGAGCGCAACAACACTAGTGGCTTTGCCATGTTTTCATTATGACACTTACTAGTGTTTTCCAATGCAAAAAAGTCAGATCTTTGTGACAATACCTGAAAATGCTCAAGACAGCACTATACACAGCCATTTGAAAACTACAGTAAAAGTAACACATTTACACAGAAATTAAAGTTACACACAAATTATGAAATAGTTATCACCTCAGTAAACAATAAATGAATTGAAAGATTACAATAAATTCAATGGCAAATATTGCAAATTAAACTAATTATTTCCTATAGGTTTACTTGTATTTTGTGCTAAAATTCAAAGTATCTCATCTGTATTTACAATACAGCTTGATTCTGCATCGCTACTTACAGCTCGTTGGTCCATGTGAACGTTTACTGTTGCTATGGCAACAAGAGACCGCTGACGTTAGCAGCTCTTAGATAGCCTAGCTAAATCATCTGAACAATAATAACCCATAATATCACAATTCAGCATATTTAAAACTAAATCAACCACAACTACCAACATTCACAGCCCTTCAACTCTGGGCTAATATGTTGTCACAAGTAGGACTATGCAGTTAATTAGGTCACATCACATCTTTTGGACATGTCTCAAAAATGTAGCCTAGCCAGCCCCAGGCTAACGTTACTTACCATGTATGCCTCCACTCGCTCGTCTCCCGGCGCAGCAGCACCTGCTGGGGTGGTGACCAAATAGGTCCGTCAATTTAGAATATTTAGCAGCCTCCACCTCCAGAGACTTCAGCTTTTTAAGTCGCAGTTTTTCAGCGCCACCCGGGCGTTTCTTCCGCTTATCCATTTTCAGCTTAGCAGCAGCCCGTCCCGCGACTGCCGCCCATGCCATGAGGTCCCGCCCCACCCTGGTTTGTGTTGTGATTGACAGCGCTGTCAGGGCTCTCTGAGCCTGTCAGACCATGATTGATTGACAATGACAAACAATAGACCAATAATATGTGTCGATGCTGGCAACACACTGCTAGCCCTCTGTAGCCAATTGGGCGGCCCAATTGGAGGGAATTTAGAGAAAAAAAGAAAAGAAAAAAAACAGACAGGACCGGCCCACATTGGGTCAACGGCCCACCGGGACGATGTCCG